GCGCGGATATCGTAACGCACAAAGCGAAAAGAAGCAGGCGGATGCACCCCTCCGAGGCGTCCGGCCGGTCGGTGGTGGCTGCCGAGAGGTGACTGTGGTTGGGCGGCGAGGAGTTCAGGTGCTGCGTGGACATCTTCCCGGCGATTAAGTTACTATCAGACGAAGCTCAAGTTTGCACGAAAAGCAAAGAAGAGAGGCATCAAGCACATCATGACATTTTTTTGGGGGGAGTCGAGTTGACGGATCCAAAGCTCGCCACCGCGGGGGACACGCAGCCTCTCGTCCAGCTGTAGATGTGCACACGTTGTCGACCCCCACCTACTTTTCTCTCTCAGTCACAATCGGGATGGGCTTTACATGCAGACTACTACAGCTCGAGTAGCACACGTGCGCGAAAGCGCTCCCACGCAGCACACTATTAATTTTATACACGCGCTCTACCTGAATACCAATGAGCAAAAACACAATTCATTCTAATTTGTGATACTCCGAGCCATTCCCTTTAGATAAGCAAAAAAAATCAATGACAGTGAGAGAAGAAATTATTGTAAAGTGGAAGAATACGCCGGCCTCAAAACAGTTTGGATTAACGACCTTCAGGTGAAGAGTTGGCTGAAGATCCCTGAGCGGTGGCTTTGCCCTCATCACAAAATCATGTTTTTTGGGGTTCATGAAAACCTGAAGGGCCACTATCCCCCGTTTTAGATCTTCCTCCTCCAACGCACCTAATTCAAATGATCAGTTGGGTTCATGAAAACCTGAAGAGCCACTATCCTGCATGTTTTAGATCTTCTTCCTCCTCCAACGCACCTAATTCAAATGATCAGCTCATCTGCAGCCTGATAACGATTTACAGTGCTTTTGTTCAAGCAATACGTTTTTATTAGGTAACATTGGGAACGAAGCCAGTTATACAGAGCATTCACTGGCTGCAACGTTAGGTGCACTTGTGGAGTCCAATCCAAGAAAACAATAAAAAAAAAAAAAAGCTATTAAAGGTGCTTTTGATGCCAAATCCTCAAATGTAATCATCAAAATCTGACGCCATGTACTGCCTTTATTATGGAGGCAAAATAGTCTGATTCAGCATGACATGAAATGTGTTGTAGAAATATGCACAGTATACAATACTTGATCTTTGATGAAAGCATTCACAGTTATCTTATAAGACAGAATTGTCAAACTTTAACTTGCATAGTGTGTGTGTGTGTGTGTGTGTGTGTGTGTGTGTGTGTGTGTGTGTGTGTGTGTGTGTGTGTGCGCG